CCAGCAGCTTAGCTTAGCATAAAGACCGAAAACAGCTGGCCTGACTGTCCAAAAAAACTGCCTACCAGCATCTTTAAAGCTCAGTAATCACATTATATTTTGTTTGTTTAATTTGCACAAAAACAGGTTTTACAGGGCAAGCTACACTAACCCGATGCTGGCTGTAACTTTATATATAGCATGCAGACATTAGAGTGATATCAATCTTCTCATCCAACTCGCAGCACGAAACTAAAAGGGGATATTTCCCAAAATGTCAAACTAGGACCAAACACAGTGGTTGGTTTCAGTTCAAATGGCATGTTTTGGCTTCTGTCTTGATTTAGATTAGCGTCGGTCAGGCCAAAGTGCCTCCTCACCCTCGGAGCGTAGACCCAGCCGAGGAGAATGACGCCGACGATGAAGGAGAGATCTGGTACAACCCGATCCCCGAGGATGAGGAACCGGAGACGTCACAGCGACCCTCCGTTCGGTTGTTGGTTCCCCCTCGAGCAGAGCCCCAGAGGAGGCCCAGCAGGGGAGGGGATGTGGGTCATGGTGGCAGGAACCCGGGGAGCAGCGGTGGTGCCGGGCCGGAGGCGCTCGGGGAAAGCCTCGGTGGAGGCGGCGGTTCAGGAGATGGGAGTCAGGGGAATGCTGTACATTCCACAGAGGCAATACATCTGCACAGACAGATGCTCGCGTGCAAACCTCAGGAGGAGGGTGGGCCTTCCACCAGCAAAGCCACAGGTAAGGCAGAAATAGACACATACACACCTCCTCTCATTCTTACTGTACTTCCCTTTCAGCTTTTCCCGACTTCATTCAGTCTTTCCCTCACATTTCTTTGGGCAGATGCTCGAGGGCCAATTATTGTCTCTCGTTTTATCTCTCAGCCAGTCACCCTCGGCAAATTTTTGCAGTTGTGCACACCTTGAGCACTAATTACAGCTATTGTTGAAAATGTTCCCAATCAAAGGATCAACAGACTTATTTAGCTGCAAGTAATTCCTGGCTTACTCTTGTTCTACTCAGAAATATATAAAGTATTTTAAGTCTGACGTTTAAGAAGATATAGCCCCAAAAATACAGTTTTGAAATCCCAAATTCCTCTTAAAATATGTAACAAATGTAGCCTAGCTTAGTTATTTCTTGTTCTGTTTGATAGGAGCAGACAGGAGCTGTGGCTGTCTAATCATATCACTCCATATCAGTGCCCCTCATTAGTTAAACTCAGACAGACACTAGCCAGGAGGAATTCAGAGCTGGCATTCCTCAGAGGAAAGAATATCCATTTTACTTGTGATTGCAACTTGTTGTGGTTCTTCAAGTTTTTTAGAATAAATGTCTAACCTTGAAAGCTTGCTCATTAAAACTGAACTTATCTTTTGTGCGGACGCAAAAAAGTGATTTACGACCTGCAGGGTTTGAGCAGTAATACTGTAAATGAATTTAAGTGCTCTCTCCACACTTTCTTATTTACTTGTGTGCTTGGAAATTGTTGACAACTCTGGTCTACAGCGACGGCATAATGATGACAGCCAGCACACGGCTCCCCGTCTCTTAATAAGCCCAGTCTGTTTTTTCTAACTTCCGACTTTTTGTTCTCTCTGATGTGGCAACATGGTAGTTTCAACCAATTGGCACATCTTGAGCTGAGCCTATAATTACAACTTTTGACAACACTTTTCTGTGGCACGCAACAGCCATTTCTAGTTGTAGGAGCACAAAGCAAGGCAGAATAGTTTTGGTACGCTGAGCGAAATCTAATACTTAAGCTTTAGTGTTCACAGCCACAGTTTTACTGCAGGAATGGAGGCTTGAAATGAGCTCAAAAATAACCTTTTCACCCTGAAATACTACAGTTCATTCAGGTCATTCAGACCAGTTCTTATAAATGACAAAATATACTGTAGTCCCCAGTTCTTTCATGTTTTGTCAGTGCATATAAAGAAACTGTTTGTCTGGCAGTGGAACATCTTAACTTCTTGAGGTGTTGCATTATCTCCCAAAATAAATCTGTCTGTGACAAGGACACAGGTTTAATTGGTGGCTGATAAAGTCCCTGATCCTCATTGACTGGCGTCACTCTGGCAACTCCTGGCTCTCCCTGGCATCACGTGTGGCTCAGCAAAACTCTGAGACTTTCCCTGTAGGATTAGGATTAAACCAGTCCCGAATGAGTCTCTGTGTACTGGCCCAGGAAAGACACTAATCGTGGCTCACAGAGCTAATTAAATTTAGGTTATTTCTGCCTGCACCTTTTGATGGGTTTCAGACTTATTTTGGAGTCCAGATGAAATGTTCTGGTGTCATTAGGGCAGTTCATGCTGGGTAAGCAGATGAGTGGACATATTTGGAAGCTGGAGTTGCTCGTTCAGCAGTTTCAACAGAGAACAAATCTTGCTCTGAGCTTCTGTGAACAGAAAGGCTCTTTTAATTTTCCCTGAGCCGTCTACTTTTCTTCAAAAGTGATTTATTTTCCATCAGCTCGTTACCATTCAAAGACCTGTGCCTCATTTACATCCTGTAATAAGATTCTGTTTAATGGGAGTTTTTAGCAGCTGTGATATTGTGGGTTTACTGGCGCTCCGACTCGTTGCTGTGAAAATGAGAAGCGGGAGCAGAAGTGTTGTTTTTTTTTTCTTTTCCCTCCTGCTCCGGAACTGCCCCCCTCTCTGCAGCCTGTTGACTTTGCAATTGATTCCTGTGGGTTTGGCGACGCCATCCCACACTTCACTGCAACAAAAAAGAGCAACAAGCTGGGCTACATGTCATCAAAGAGGAAACACTCATTACTGGTTGTTTGTGTGTGTGTTGTGGGCACAGTGGGCACCTTGGTTTCAAATCAGAAGGAATGGTAGGAAGGTAAAATATTATTTCACTGTCTTTTTTCACCTTTAGTTAGAAACCTCTGTGCCTTCAGAATTTGCTGTGTATGTGTCTGTGTGTGTGTTGTGGTTGCTGTTAACTCAGTTTGTATTGGCTGCAGAATGACGCTGCACTCCTCCTTCTCTCACACTGGTTGGGAGGGTTGATGGGCAGCAGTGAAAAGCACAACAGCCTGCTGTGGTTGCTCACTCCATCCTGCATTCAGTGTCCCATCTCTCCATTCAGGTCAAACTGGGCCTGTTTGGGGACATGGATAATTACTAAGCAACCTTTTCTGACACATTTCATATGAAACCTTTTGTGCATTTCCTTCACTTTGATTTGTCAGATAAACTGGATCTGTATGGACACATATACAGCCTGTGAGGTGTCCACCCACACACTGTTAGACAGTTTTATGTATGTCTTAAAAGTGAAATAAGTGCATTTACTATTTTGTTGCACAAATTATCATAAAATATCTGCAGTGGTCGGAAAGTAATTGATCAGAATGCTGCTTTGCCAGGTTCTGGCTTGTGGATAATGACTCCATATGGGAAATAAATCTGTCTGTAGGCCAAAGAAAATAATAATACAACAGTATTGTGCTGTGTTATTGCTTTTTTCATATGACTGAAAGAAGTTGGAAATTGTCAAGAAATGTTTATTCAAAGATCCCCTCCAGACATGTATTTAGACATATATGCAAATAGTTTGCTTGGAACAATAATGTGTGTCTGATATTTCTTTTCTGCAAAAAAAAAAGAGAAAACAAATGAATTAAAATTCCTTAAAAAGACATCTACTAATTGTATCTCATTAAAAAATCCAGAATCTATGAATTTGCAAACCTTGTTCATTTCTAAAGTTTTCCCGATGGAGACAAGATGTCTCCTACTTCCATTAAGTCCATTCTCAGTGTATGTACACTGGTGGCCTCAAGTTTCACACTTGTTTAAGTTGCATACTGGATCAAATCATGTCAAATCAAATCATGCTCGTAGGCCCCCGCCCCTTAGATTTTCAGTGAGCACAGAGAAAGAGAGATTTTGAAGGGCCATACCAGCTGTTTTGCATGTTTTAGCTCATTTACAACCCAGTTTTAGGTTTTGAGTGTATTTTCCTACTTTTCATTGGTTTTCAATCATTGGCCATTGGTTTCAGTTCATGTTAGTATGGTATGAACATGAAAATCAATTAGCAAACTCTTGAAACTGATTTCTATGATGCAACACATCAAGCCTGCATATTTGTTTTAATTACAAGTAATGTTAGCATTATTGTGATGCAGTACAGAATTGGTCTGGACTGCTTCACCATACAACAGTAATGCAAGTTGATGTTCATTGAGATGGATTACACAGCTCAAGTTTCAGAGTGTTTTAGTCTTTTCATTGGTTTTCACAGAGTAAAGCATTGACCACAATACAGTAACTGTGCAGAACAGCAAGATAGAATGCACCCAAAATAAATAAAATAAAATAAATTTTGTAAAATATATATGATTTATGGTTTAAAAGACAAAACATGCAAAAACGCTGATATAGTCATCCACCAACAATAGCAGAATAGGAAATGTTGTACCAAACTAAACCTTACAAAACACGTTTGTTGGTTGTAACATCATTGTTACCACCATAATGTGCCGTATCTTTACCGCATCTACTGTTTGTGTGTTTAGAATACCACTTCATGGGTTGCCTCACCACTTTTTCGTAAATGTACCCATGCCTCCTTGGGAATAATGGCCTTTGAAGCTTTAACAAAGTCTTTAATTACAAAAAACGACGAGTTCAGCCAGTGTTGAACTCCACTATTTTTAGCCCCATCTTTTGTGTCTTCAATTTCAGATTCTTCATAAATATGAGCCCACACAGACTCCACTTTATCTGCAGGTCTAAAAATGTGACAAGCCTTTCGTTGATTGAGCATGAATAAGAGCGTCTGCTGAATTAATAAAGCAGTGCAGATGTCGATGACTCTCTGTGACTATAGCTTGCTTCTGTTCGGCTGGCTGGTTCTTTTTCCCTCACCGGATACACTCCAGACTCCTCGTGTGCTGCCTATTGACTGACTTTTTGTCCATCTGAATGCTCTATTTGTATGGAGAATAATGATTGATGGACTTTGGGGGTGGTGAGCATGGAGTGTTCCCAATCTCTTGTTCCCTTTAGCGCCTGTTTGGGGAATCTGACTTGGCCAGCGCTCAGAATGGGATCAGAGCTATTTCTGTGGGTTGTTTTGGTCACGCTGGCTGCTGCGTTTGAGAATTGGCCTGGGCTGCTAAAGTTACATGAGAGTTCAAGCCTCTGAGTTGAAACCTGGAATCTAATCTCGGCTGACGATTGCACGGTTGGGTCTGGAGGAAGTCAACATCTCAGAGGAGCAACATTGTGAGAGCAGCACTTCAAAACCAGAGCAAATTCCTTAGCTTGGCGCTAGATGTGAAGTTCGGGTCACATAGTTTTCTCATGGCTCTCTCTTTCTGGTCTGTTCTTCATTTTATCACCAGATGAGCAGCTGTAGAAAACTGTTCTGGTCTCTGTTTTGATGAGTAAAGACTTTTATCTGTGTGCACTAATGCATAATCCTTGGTCATGCATGCATTGCTGGTCATAATAGTGTCTGTAGTTTAGCTGTTGGTTTATCTGATCTTGACCATGTGTTTGATGATAAGTTGTCCAAGAGGGTTTATAACCCCCAAAGCACTATTAGTTAGGGCTGCATCGAACAGCTCTTTTCATTATTAAATAGTAAAATAGTAGTAAAACATGCCCACAAAGATTTTCCAGAGCTCAAGATGATGTATTTATGTAGCCTGTTATGTTCCATTAGCAGTCCACAACCAAAAGATATTCAAGTTACATTTTGAAAAGCAGCAAATCCTCACATTTAAGGAGCTGGAACCAGCAATGGCATAGTTTCCCCTCGGAAATGATTTAGCAGAGGCGGTCAGCGTAGTTGGTAGTAAATGATCACAGCCGCCGATGATACTCGTCCAACTGGTCAGTACGAACGTTAAATGAGAGCACATCAAAGTCTGTTTATAGCTGTGGTTGTACATCGATCCTTCGTTTGAAAGAAAAAAGATTATTGTGAGTCAGACGGTTTTATAGGAGTGCAGTACTAAATAGGTGGAGCGTTCTTTTAGACTAACTTTATCTCAGTGCAGGCGCCACTGGGTGAAATGTGTGTCCAGCTAGTTATTATCATATTAATTTCTGTGTCCTGACTTTGACTTGTAAAAACTCAGAAAGTTCCTTCTTTTTCCAACATTGCAAATGCACGATGTGAGAGGTCAATCAATCACTTGCTGGGCTGAATAAAACAGATTTTAATGCAGATTAATTAATTTAATCTTGTTATCAATGTAGTCACTAGATGAAGTTGGCTTCATAGTACCACCGCTCATTTCCCCTCCTTTTCCCTCCTTTTTTAAAAACATTTCCAGTGAATTGTTACAGCTCTAATGTTATTTTATGTCACGGGGTGTCTTTGTGCCATTAACAATAATGAAGTAAGCAATTAATTTTTGGTGATATAATGATATAAATTTATATCAGTAGGGTAGTAATTTGATGTTGTTCCATTGTAACATCAGAGTCATCATATGAAGATTGAGTTTGGTACTGAAAATGTTTTTGGTTGGTTTTCAAGTTAAAATTAGTCCTTTGTCATCACATTGCTGTTAGTGCCTTGTTGTTTGGATCGTGGCGGTGCAGCGAGGCCGGTGTGGCTGCAGGCTGTCTAGAATTAGCAGCCACTCTGTCGGTTGAGTTACAGCAAGAGCAGGAATGCCTGCAGTGGTAGACGAGCTAGGCTACATGAGGGCCGCTTTGGCAGGGGGCCATGTTGTGCTAGTGAGAAGGCCTGCATGCTTGGATATATTAGCAGGGGTTTTGTAACCATTGTAATGAAGCGGCCGGGCTCCCGCGGCCCCTGAAAGGCCTTCCAGCACTGAATGATTTAGAGCCAAAAGGAGAGGAAGCAGTGCAGAGCCTGGCCTCCGTCACCGAGTGAAGAAACTACAGGACAAGTATGCCATTCACTGGTTTATTTACACACCCCCTGTTTGTCAGCACACCCTGCTTTTTACATTTAACACACGCATTTGGCACACATGCTTGTATGGACACACACACACACACACTCAAGTAAAGACAAGTGGTTTTACAGGGGTAATCAGGGACAGCAGATTATTGTCTCCCTTCAAGGCTTATCAGACTGTGCTCAGTGTTTGTCTCTCTCTTTCTCACACAAACACATCCTCACATTGTTGTAGGCCAGGCGCCTAATATTGTTTCATTGGAGGACATTTCACATTGTCAGACTATTGGCTCGAGTGACAATTTGGCTCAAGCTAGAGGATTGTAGAAACATATATCAGGCATATTGGATAATGATCAGGTTGTCCCTCACACACACCCACCTCCTGCACCTGTCTGGTGCCAGCACTGTGAAAAGCCCTTGTCGTAAATTCCTGGGCTTTGTTAAGAGGTGTCAGTGGCCGGGTGCCTCAGGAGGGCTGCAGGGTCAGGGAGGGCATGTGTGTGTATGAGTGTTTATGCATGCATATTTACATGCACTCTCTCTTTGTGTCACAGTAATATGGTGAGTGCATGTGTGTGTTGAAGTGTTGGGGGTGGACACAGTTTCTTGGCTCAGGTGTCACCCTGGAGAAATGCAGACCTTTTTGCCCTTTGACCCAGGGACATGGCCCTGGAGGGTTGGGTGTCAAACCATTGCCCCTGAACCTCAGCTAGTGAGGTGTCACGTTACTCTCCTGGCTGCTGCCACAAGGCCAAAGCCTGCAGAGGACATAGCTGTGATGATGTGTGTGTGTGTGTGTGTGTAGAGCAATAGTCATTAACTTTGTCAGAGGCAGATCTGCTCTCCAGGGCTAGTGGATGTTGCCCCAGTTCATGATGATTATCAAATAAATGGGACAACAGCTGGATCTTACATGTGTGAGAGTATCTGAGAGTATGATATATTTGATATTTCCTGATCTAAAACAGGAAACCTTTGATACTGCAGACTAAATTTCACTTAATTTTTAATTTATTTAATGCTGATGTTTTGATTTTTGAGCAATTTGGCATATTTTGTGAGATGAAAGTATTGGGTTGGCACGAATTTCAAACAATATCCAACCAAAATCACAATATGGTAATGATCTGTGTTCCTCTGTTATGCAATACTAAACTTGCCAAACTCCTTTTATGATTTTCTGATTATAATTTGAGCTCTGAGTCATTAAACTGGACTGCAGAATTTGGATATGAGATCATACCAACATGATAGAATTTCACTGCACCGAGAGCTGATGAATAATAATGTTGGGCTTTCACATTAATAAATAATTACCAGTTTAAACTAGAAATTTAAGTTCTGATCCATTACAGTTTTGTAGCTTATTACATTTTACTCATATCTACATTTTAAGAAATAAAGGAGAACTCTAAAAATGACTTAAACAGTTTTCTGTACAAGGAATTTCACTCCTCGAAACCTTGTTTTAGACCTGACCAGGGTCCTCTGTGTACCCAACCCCTCCCCAGATGTTGTTTGGTGAGTTTGCACCTCCAGTGCCCTCCACCCATGTTCTGCCGTCTCAGAGCGCCTCTGTGTCTATTACTGGCAGGAAGCTGTGACAGGGAAGGCTACTCAGCCAGCGTGGAAAGGAGGCTAAACATGGTTTGGTGAGGAATGTGAGAGAACAGCCGTGTTCATTTGTACATTCACCAGCCAGCTTGCCAGCCTTCCAGTCGACCATCCAGACCTCTGAGTGCCTGGACAAGGGGCGCCTTTGTCCCCCATCTGCCGGCTACACCCTGCCCTGCTCCTGCCCCCCATCTTACCCTTCTCTCCATCCTGTTGCACCTCCTCTGCCTCCCTCTTTTCACTCACGGGCCCTCACCCCAGAATAGCACAGCAGGTCCCCTCTCAAAATAGAGCTGGTGATGTTGGCAGGGTCAAGCTTTCTCTCTTCTTTCTACTTTATCTCTCTCGCTCTCTCTCTGACAGAATCACTCTTTTGTTTCAGAGGTTTATTCAGAGAAAGTGATTAGCTGATAAAAACAACAAAAGCTTTTATATTTGAGATGAGAACTCCAAAATCAATAAAAGTTCATGTCATGAATATATTAAATGTCTAAATAGTTCATCAGCTCCTAGATTTAGTTTCTTGTTTACAATCTAGACCAGGTCTAAAAGCACTCATCAAAAGACCTACTGAAGGTAAATGTGGCCTGCCGTGGCCTTGTGGTCCAGCCTTAATCTTCCATGGATCCATGCAGTGAGGTATTCCCTGTAGTGTAAGTGTAAAAAAGAAAGGTTAGCCAAGGAGGAAATCTCATTAAAAGAGCGATGAATGTAGAAAATAGCTGTTTGCAACAGGCTCAAGCTTTCCGTTGGGTAAGTAGCAGGATGCCCATAATTTGACAAATTCCACTTTAATGACACAAATCGGGGCCGGCTGCGTGCCAACTCTTTTTCTTTCTCTTCTCTTGCCAGATAAATTATTTGGTCATGGAAAATGACTAAAACAAGATGTGAACATAACACATGACAGCCCTTTAATGTTATATGGCAAACTTGTTGGCCAAAAGTCAGATATTTACACATCCCGCTGATAAGGAGTAACATTAGCATTCATTTGGAGAGAGAGCAATGAACATAAAAAAACGCTTAAGTTGCAAAACAGTGAGCTAAAAGACACTAAAAAGTTCTGGGGAACTCTAGAGTCTGCTGATAAATCTCTGTGGGTTTGTCACTATGAGTGACACCTTTCACATAACACATAGTTATCTGATTCATTCTTAACGTAAAATATATTGAATATAGCAGCTTTAGATTAATAGGGCTGCCACAGAAAAGCTTTTGTTGGATAAGCGACCTGTTGAAAAGACGATAAAACCTAAAGCCACGGCTGAGTCCTGTAGACTAAACAATGGTTGTCACTCCCGCGTAGAACTCTAGACCCTAAAATTTCATGTTGTAGACGTCTAGTTAGGCGACAACTGCCTACAAGGTCCAATCCAAATGGATATTTTTCAACTTGAATAATGACTGAGTAACACTAGCTCAGCCCTGAAGCAGTTGGTGTCTCTAGACACACATTTCCCTACTTATAGACCACTGTTTTTCCTGGAGCTGCAGCTAAAGACATTCCACTTCAATTTCCGTGGTGTTTGATTGAATGAAGCCCACTTTAAGCAGAGCAACCTCATGGAAACTCTTTGAGAACAATCAAATTTTTGATATTGGCGGCATTTCAGCAACCTCATTCTTTAAAACTGTAAATTATCTAAATCGCTGTCTAGGTTTACGTATATAGACTGTAACTGTATTATATAGTGCTGAAGTGTTTATGAAGTGCTGCCTGCTGAATGTATCTCTGTCAGTGGATTACTGGGTTGCATGTGAACCTAATCACTTGATGATGTGCCATGAAGGTGTAGTGCTTTTCTGGGAGACTGTAAATTATGGCTCATGCAAACTTTGCCTTTGGTTTTAGTCTTTTCTTTCCCGTCTGTCTTCACTGGACATCTGAACATTACTTGTAATGATGGGAGTAAGGCGGATTGTCTTGTGAAACCAGCGATTACAGTGACTTTAAGAACGTGTGACTGGTGGTACCCATTTGTACTGAGAGTAATCCCACAATTGCTTTCTAAATATTGAATAAGAATTTGGCAGTTAAAAATGTTTAAACTTTTCCACAAAGTGTCAACCAAAGACAAATATAAATTCAAAATGCGTCAGGCTCCCCTTTTTAATCCGTTTTTGTCTTGCCCTGTTATTTCCTCTGTAGATGGTCCTGACCTGCCCAATGCCGTCAGCTCCCCTCCCTCCAGCCCGAACCCGGCCAAGAAGAGCAACTCCATCAACTGGTCCTTCCCAGACAAGATCAAGTCCCCACGCACTGTAAGGAAGATCTCCATGAAAATGAAGAAGCTTCCGGAGCTTAGCCGGAAACTCAGCGTCAAGGGGACCCCGAGTAGCAGTAACAGCAACAATGGAAGTCAGCTAGAGCCTAGAGCCCATTCTCCCCGAAACAACGGGAGTGGGTCGGAGGTGGCCCCCCACTCCTCAGGCCCTCCAAGATTAGCTGCATCTGGGGGTGGGCAGGCCAGCCGGAATGTGATCTCACGTTACCACCTGGACAGCAGTGTGTCCACACAGCACAGCTTCAGCAAGAAGAAAAGTAACGGCAGCTCAAAGTCAGCCAGTAAAGGTGGCTACCTCAGTGATGGTGACTCACCTGAGCTGGTGGCCAAGTCTGGGAAGCACGGCTCTGCGGAGGGGAAGGGAGGGAAAGGCAAGGAGACGGAAGGAGGAGGCGGAAGCTCCAAACTCAATGGCACAGAGCTGGACATTGATGCTTTCAGGCATTACAGCTTCACAGAGCAGCCCAAGTGCAGCCAGTACATCTCCGGACTGATGAGCCTGCACTTTTATGGTGCTGAGGACCTCAAACCTCCACGCGTTGACTCTCGTGACGTCTATTGCGCCATCCAAGTGGACTCAGTTAATAAAGCACGAACCGCTCTCCTCACATGTCGAACTACCTTCCTAGATATGGACCACACCTTCAATATTGAGCTGGAGAACGCCCAGCACCTGAAGCTGGTGGTGTTCAGCTGGGAGCCCACGCCAAGACGCAACCGCGTCTGCTGCCATGGCACAGTGGTTCTGCCGGCGCTCTTCCGGGTGACACGCTGCCACCAGCTGGCGGTGAAGCTGGAGCCTCGAGGCCTGATCTACGTCAAGCTGAGCCTGATGGAGCAGTGGCAAAACTCGCTGGATGGTGGGCCAGATGGTGACAGGGAGCCCCAGGTGTTTGGCGTGGAGGCGTGGCGGGTGGTGGAGAGGGAGAATACAGGACTGGTGGTGCCGCTGCTCATAAGCAAGTGCATCAATGAGATCGAAAAGAGAGGCTGCCAGGTGAGTCTGTGTATGGGTTGACTTTGAGAAATAGAGGTTCTCCTGCTGTTGGCGAGTTAGCCAGGTGACACTGGCAAAGTATATGATGATCTTTTTTCATACTAATACTCTAAAACCCAGTTTACAATTATATAAAGCAGAAAAGCAACAAACCCTCATATTTGAGAAGCTGCTATAAGGAAATATTTAGAATGTTTTGTCCTTTTATAAATGTCTTCATAAAGGACTCAAATGATTCATTAGTTAATCTGCCAAATTGTTTTCTCAATTTTCAGTTTCTTGATTCTTAAATTAAATCAGTAAAAGTAAAATTAATTGATTTAAATACTTTCCCAAAGCTAAAAATTAAATCTTCAAATATCTTGTATTAGTCCAGAACCCAAAGATATTAAGTTTACAATGAAATAAAACAGATAAAAGGAACAAATGAAGCAGTTTTTCTTGAAACAAACAATTCATTGATTATAGAAATAGTTGCCAATTACCTTTCTATGGTCTCTATGAGATACATATATATATTTGGGGTCACATATATACACAGTACATGTGGATGGAAACCATTCAAATCCTATTATGTCAATGGAAAACAGATGGGGATTCATTTGAAAAGAAGGCTGGTAGGATACAATTATATAATGCGTTTTGAGTGAATGTGAGAATAGGGAGAGAAAATAATCCCACATTCATAGCATCCTTATAGCTCAGTATGCCGTGAGAGGAGTGCTCGCCCTGCAGCCAGTTATAATACTGGATGACTGGCATGAGCAGAATGGATAGAAGAGATGTACCGCACTTCATGATGTCTCTGAGCCTTCCTGGGGCGACTGGCTCTTTTATTCAGACTCTGAGTTAAGAGACTGATGTGGTGGCGACGATGGTGGAGTGGATCATGTGATCATCTCTTGTTTTGTCCCCCCCTCCACATTTCATGTGCTCTTTGAAGCCCAGAGAGGAGAGAGAGAGAGAGGCGGCGGAGTTTCTCCTAATTAGAGCTGAGACAGCGGCAGTAAAAGTGTCTGGCCACTGTTCCTGACTGATCACTCTAGGGGGGCATGCCAGGGGCAGCGGGTGCCTGGGGCCAACAGACAAACATTAGGCCTCTCCAAGGAGCCTGTCTGTCAAATCAGACCCCACCCATGGCCACTTGTGGAGCATGCCGGGCTTTCAACAGTAGTAACAGCAAACCTTTGTTTGAGTTTGTGATTTCAAAGGGAGCAAATTAAATGATTCCCTGACGTCAAATTAAAAGTTTCATAAACATTTTTCTTGTTAGCAGATAATGAGTCATAGTTCTGAAAGACTTCATTGTTTTTATTATCTGTTAATCTTTTGATATGTTAGTTGATTATTTATTTAGTTGATTGAACATTTTAGAGACCAAACCATAAAATCATTTGGTCTATAAAATGTCAGAAAATAGTGAAAACAGTTTTCAAGAAGCCCAAGGTGATATATTTAGATTTATTAGTATTTTTTAATTAATATGTTGATTATTTTTTCCTTTATTTGCGTAATCTTTTGGTCAATAAAAAGAAAATCCTGTCCCCAGAGCCCATTATGATGGTTAACTTACAGTAATATATAAGATGGAGGAAGACAGCAATTTATCACTTTGAGATGGTGGAGCCAGAGATTGTTTGGCATTTTTCATTGATAGATGATGAACTGACTATCAAACTTGTTGATTAATATAGCAAGCAATAAACTGATGAATCAACTAATCATTTCAACAGTAAGTTAGATTCTGAAGTGCAGCGTCGTCACTGAGCAAATAAAATAACGTGAGTTGTCAGCTGAATCATACTCACATTTCCCCTTGGGGATTCTGTAGAAGTTTTATCAGATCTACACTGATAAATCTTATTTTTGCTAGATACATATACTCTGTGTTGTAGATGCACTTCCCAGATGTGTGGCTGCTGGTGCCTCAGGTCACTAATCTTTGGCTGTCACTCTGGAGAAGCTGTCTAGACTGCACTGACCAAACTCACCTGACTGCCTTCTTCACAGGCCAGCTATAGCTCTCACTTAACCATCAGTTTTCATCCAGTTAGCTCAGATTTCTTCTGTTTATGCAATTCACTCTGCTATGTCTGGCCATATTGTGATTCCTATCTGTTTCCGTCTCTCTTCGTCTGCAGTGTTTCTCCTTCTGTCTTTGTTTTTGACGCCGTTTGTCTCCCATCCCTTGCTCTGTTTCTTCTGATCGCACTCTCCCCACTTGTTTTTGCTGCCTTCTTTCATTACAGAGATTCAGAGTAGACTTTGCACAGGGTATCAGTCTGAGATCAAGTGTAAGGGCTCCCCTAGGTTGCAGGCAGACGAGGGCTAGGACGGGGTTGACACCAGATCCCAGAGGAATTCGCAGGTTATGTCACTAAAGCACGCAAGGCCAGACGTGTAGCGGTGTGCCTTTACAAATGATTATGTGGATGTTTGATGGAGACTCTTTTTTTTCCAGAGTCTCTTAGAAATGAATGTCCTAAGGGCTTCTCCGAGCTTTTAAGGCGGAGGATGATTGTGGGTGTTCTGAAAAGACTGCAGACAATGTCTATGTCAGAGACTGGAGTTATGTTTGTGAGCACTCTGTACCCATTAAAACGAGACCTTTTTTTAAGGGATCTGTCCCAGAAACCTACATATTACCATACATGGCAGTGAAATATGCACACAGATGTTGTGACATGTTATGAATGGCTATACAGATGCACCATTTTAGACAGACTTCTTAGCATGGCATTGGTAAAGGTTTAAGTTTTGACTTTGGCTTCCAGACTAAAGCCCCCTTTTCAGACATCATCATGTGTCTGTTAAAGTATTGGCTTTTTGGGCTTTCAAACATAGGTCTCTGTTACATAAATGTTCTATAATGGCTCTTTAAAACAAGACAGGGCTGTTAGGAATAGAGCTGCAGCAGTATTTGTGTTATTTGTGGGATCTGGCACACAAGTAAGACTGGTAGCTCTGCTGAAAAACAGCTGTAAGCTGAAGACTTCTTGAAGATTTTTTTTCAGCGATGGATTGTGAATTATTAATCAAATATCTTGCAGCTGAAGACTTAATGACCATAAACACGAGGGACGCTTGATTCTGCTTCTCAGTAGTGGATCCCTTAATAACTTTTCTCATTAATTTTATAGTCTGTTAGGTAAATGATAAAATTCAGCTTTTTATAGTGCAGTTCAACCGCACTAAAGCATCGTTAAAAATTACAAGATGTTAAGTCGTGACTCCTCTTTAATTCCTACTGCCTTACATGCAGAGACTTCCTATGGGTATTCATAGTGTGAGCATTTGAAAGCTAAAGTTAAACTGCGTTTTGTTTTGTTTTTTTGGAAAGTGTTTTTCCTCTTTGTTCGGCAATGTGAGGGGCAAAGAAAATCTCTTGGACACCTTAAAATTTGATCATTCTGAGTATTTAATTGTGGTTTATTGAGCTGATTTTACTTTCTTTGTACATAAGAAAATGGAAGTTTCTTACTGTGTTCCTTAAGAAGAAGGCATATGTGTATCTAACCCATCTCTACGTATTAACCCATGGGCCTTTCTGCTAATGTGAAAGGTTATGGTTAGATGTTATGGAAATGTCTATCCTAATGAGAGTGACCTTGATAGAAAAGTGATCAGGGGGCCATCATATTTATGTATCAGCATCTCATTTGTCAGGATTTGTTGGATTTTTTTGTTTAGTGGTGATAATTAACTGAACATCTTTGGGTTTTGAAATGCTGCTTGGACGAAACTAGACATCTGAAAATGTCACCTTGAGCTTTAGGGAATTGTGATGGACATTTTTCAACATTTCTATTCATCATTTTTTTGAATTTTTTTAATTTAAGAGCAGCACTATACAATTATTTTGTTTGTGTAGTCATGCACACAGGTTTTGCGTACATGCATGTCAGCTCTCCTGTGATATATTTTTGTACGTATGTGGAGAATCGTGAAGATGAGAACAGATCATTTCCCTGTTATTAAAAGTTGAGTCATATAGGAAGTAAACAACTTGGTGGACTGACTCTGGTGGAACACTTAAGAGCATTAATGCGATCAAATGCACTTTTCTTTCTTTCCTTTCTTGTTCTTTGATGTTTCTATAAAGTCTTTAAGCTAATCCCAGACCCCCCCCCAAAAAAAACTGATCCAATCACTGGTTCTGCAGTTACTTAGCATCCACATTCCTGTCGAGGGAACTCGTTTGGTTTAGTGGTCATTGTGTCTGCTTTATTCTACATATAGGTCTTGGCTGGTGCTGCCTGTTGTGTTGCCCGGGAGTCACAGGGCATAAGAGCAAGCCCTCTTTTTGCTAACAGCTGTTCCCCGCCTGCGCTCGGCTCTCCCCCGAAGAGAGACTCTTTTTTTTTTTTCCTGAATGGACTTGTTGTTCATTGTGCCCAGTGACTTCTGTTTACTCTCACACAAAGCCAAATCCCTGCCTAATCTGTCCTCCTCTCTCCCTCTCGTGTGAGGTTTAGAAAACACTGCTCAACTCGACGACGAGAGCTCACAAATAGTTGGTCTGGTGGGGAGACATTATAGTGCTCCTACGCTGGAGCCCGAAAAGGCCGGCAGTGTGTGTGTGTGTGTGTGTGTGTACAAATGTGTGTATTTGTGTTTGTGTGGAACCGGACCCGACCCGCCATTCACAGCCCACTGACTTAACACGTTACCAGGGCAACCACACCAGTTGGTCTGCTATGCCACATACCAGACAGACACATGTAGGAGAAATTATGGTATGTCTGTGGCCAGGACTAATCCCAACATAACAAGGAGACCATTGGTGCCAAGTTTCAACTATCAGATGTCTCGAGGAAATTGTTAAGAGTTCCTTTAGGTCACACTCTGGAGGCTTAGGTAAAGAAACATTAAAGGTTTATTGCGTAGTCCTTCCATTTTTTAATGCTGTGCTGTCAGCTGGGTTTTTAGAAGAGGTCAGTGTTTATCCATTCAGTCATATGGACGTGACATTTTTATCACACTTCGGAGAGTAGTTTGACCAAACCCCAAGCACATTTCTCTTTGTTCGCTTTCAAATAAGCCAAGAAAATATGCTCGCAGATGTATTAAAAATGACGCCACATGCTACCTTTAAAAAATGATGCACAGCAGTGTATTAAAGTCAGACTGTATATCTTCTGAAAGAAGAAATAACCAAATATTCATATTATATTTTCCCACTACATCCTTCTTGACTGCTTCTTGTAGCTTATGGTGGCTACTATTAGCTAATGTTTGGATAGCTGTGTGACGGACACTGTTATTTTTAATACTTAGCATTGCTAATACTATTAGCACTATCCTGTAACTGACTGGTGTTCAA